CTAATCTAATTTGGCCATGGAGTACTTTCGGATCTTTGATGACAATAATGGCAAAGATGATGACAGCTTGCATTTATATAGTGCCATAAGGTTTGCAAAGTACATACTATTTCATGTGATCCTCACAACAACCCTGGGAGGCAGGTTTTATTATTATCTCCATTTAACTGATGAAGAAACTAAGGCATATAGGGGGTTAAGTGACTAACTCAGTTCATTCACGGCTCAGGTCCTCTTCACTCCAGGGTCAGAGTTTTATCCACTGTGTCACCTAGCTGCCACTAAATATATTAAAGGAACCTATAAAGGCTGATTCTTGGTAAGATTATGGAGTACTCCAAAGATATTAAATGGTCAGGAAAATGATGAAGAAAAATATAGGAAGTTAAGGCTATTTTCAAACTCACAAGTGAAGAGCATTCTCTGGCATCGTTGGGCCATAGGTCTATGGATAGTGACTTAGCTCAAACCATCCTAGTGACCTCACTGGTCTCAGAGATTTCATAGACTGGTAGTAAGGTTTTAACCTTGCATGTGCCTCACTTTTTTGCAACTCTCCAGTTCTACATACATTCTCTGGGTATGCTGCCACGTCTTTGACTTAAGCTAAGACTTGTGCTTGGCTGTAGTTTTCGTATCTCTTTCTTGTCCTGATTCCTGTGGCACCTGGACCCTTCAGCCACAGGACAGCCTGATTCTTCTTCCAGAACCAGGGACTAAACACCATTGTGAGACCCAGCTATTTTCCCTATAAATTCCCATCCTGTATCTCCTCTTCAGACTCAAGGAGATAAGAGTGCTATCCCAAATAACTCCCACATCCCATCCTCCAGGCCTCTCTCAAACAACAGCCAAAGCAATTGCTCCCCTGGAGGTCAAAAAGCTTTATTTCTGTCAGACTAGCACAGAGTAAAAAGCCCCAGTTGAAGAGAGCCCCAAGAAGAATACCAAGTAACTACTCCCACAATTCTCTAAGCCTGACAACTTAAAACTTTCTTTGGGCAGAGGTGTTTAGGCCTTTTCATACTGTCCCTAGGAAAGTATCTTTTACTTTAAAATTCGAGGCATTGTATGATCTCAGTAGAATTAAAATAGCAGGTGATGTGGCAATAGAAAGATGCATGGTGGGTGTAAGGAGGCTGCATCATGTAACAAGATAACTTGTGTGATGGAACCTGGTGTGTACCACATGACTGAAGACAAGTGTCTCCTTTGTAGCAGACAAAAGTTGAGTGCCATGGGTAGAAAGGTCCAGGGCATATGCAAGCTATGCAACTGCTCTCTTGACTTCCTCTCTTTATTTTTGCTAATGGGCTTATAAGGTTGGACTAGTATGAATCTACGGGTGAATGCAGGTTCAGTGATGACCTTCTCTCTCTTCTTTATTGACCTTTCCCATTTATTAGCATGGTAAACTTAAAATCAGGTGGGTATAAGTCCTATAGTTCCTTATTCCTTCTGCTTCTTTTGCCACAAGGTCTGTCCCCTAAGCTGAGCACTAACTGAATCTATGATATATTCATTCCAGACTAACTCTACCTCCCCCAAAACACTTATTTAAAAGATAATCGTGGTGGCAATCAAACATGTATCCTAGCAAGCAATTCAGCAGAAATCAAGGGAAATTGTATTGACTGAGATTCAGGGGTGAGGAACCTGTGGCCTTGAGGCCACACATGGCCCTCCAGTTCCTCAAGTGTGACCTTTGACTGTGGGACACACTTGAGGACCTAGAGGGCCACATGTGGCCTCAAGGCCCACAGGTTCCCCACCCCTGGGATAGATGATAGAATACATAAGAGTAAATAGGCTCTTCTACCAAGGAGAGAGGGAAAATCTCAGCTCAACCAAGGAGAGAATGCTCTCACCAGAGAAGTGCACTCTGAGAAGTCTCTAGGGATTCAGGTCCTGGGAATCAAGGGAAATGTGGAAAGGCCAGTCTTCTCCCCCCATCTTTGAAGCTCTAGGGGCTCCCATTAAAAGGGTTCCACTTCTCCTATCTCCCATTTCTCCTGAGCGCCCCTTTGCTCTCCTTTACTCTTCAAAGTCCCTCCACATGTGCACAACTTCATAAGGTCAGAGGCCTCTCAGCCGATCTTCCTCCATAAACAGTGTCTTGGAGCTTTTCTTCAGAGAACTCCCCTAAAGTCTTCTGGAGAAGGGTGTTACACTTGCATGTGAGAAATTGCTTAAAAGGCATGAAGGACATATATGGCAAAGGTGGACTGATTATGTAACAAAAGCAAGGTCTAATAAATAGCCTCCCAAGTGTTCCACTGGTGCCCACAAAATATTAAAAGACCTGGGAAGGCTTTCACAACAACGGCAGGTCTGCTCATGGAGCCCTCTTCCCTTCTCCATTTATACCATTTCACTCCCATGGTTTCAATTATCATCTCTATATTGATGCATCTTAGATCCACTAACACCTCCCCTAATTTCCAGATTCTGGTTTCTAACTGCTTATTAGACATCTTGAACTGGGTGACCTTCTACTCCAAAGCATCCCCCTTCCAAACTTCTCTGTTACTGTCAAGGGCCATCATCCTCACCATTACTTGAGCTCACGACCTAGCTGTCATCCTCATCTCATCCTTTCTCACCTCCCTTTAGAAATTCTGTGGCCAAGTTCTGTCAATTTTACCTTTGTGACATCTCTTACATCTCTTCTCTCCTCTGACGCTGTCATTATCTGGTGTAGGCCCTCTTCCCTTCATGCCTGGACTACTGCAATAGCCTACTGGTTGGTGGCCCTGCTCCAGTTCATCCTTCTCTCAGCTGTCAATTTGATCATCTATTACACACACACACACACACACCCCTCCATTCAATCAACTCCACTGGATCCCTATTACCTCCAGGATCAATTATGATCCTTTCTGCCTTTCCAGTCTTCTTTCACCTTACTCATCTCCCATATAATCTACTCTCCAGTGACACTGGCCTCCTTATTATTCCTTGCACAAGATGCTCCATTTCCTGACGGTGCATTTTCACTGTCTGTCTCCCATACTGGCATTTTTTCCCCCTCTTCACCTCTTGCTCTTGCTTTCTCTGGCTGTCTTCAAGTCCCAGCTTAAAACCCCACCTTTTACAAGGTAGGTGCTATTATTATCCCCGTTTTATAGTCGAGGAACCTGAAGCAAGCCAAGATTTTAAGTGACTTCCCCGGGGTCACCCAGCTAGTAAGTGTGATGCTGTATTTGAATGCAGGTCTTCCTGATGCCAGGTGCTCTATCTACTTCCCCACCTAGCTGCCTCTTAGATGATCTCTAAGGTACCTTTGAGCTCTTACCTTCAGTGATTCTTTAAGTTACCCATTTATAAAATTTTGTGAATAATGATTTGTCATGAACCTGGGAGCAAGAAGGTCAGGAGAGAGCCATACGTATACTTAGCACAGTGCCTGCAACATAGTAAGCGCTTAATAAATGTTTCTTGATTTACTGACATCTTCATCCACTATCTCTACCTTCACTTGAGTCTCACATAATGAGGCAACCCTTCTCCTTGCCAAAGTCAATCCCTCTACATATCCATCTTTGATCCCATCCCATATTCTGTAGTAGATTTCCCCTACTATCATCCCTACTCTCTAATCTTCAATCTCTCTCTACCAACTTTCCTGCCCTCTACAAACACATTCATGTTTCTCCCATCATTGAGAAACTGTCACTAGATCTGAGCATTTCCATCAGCTATCACCCATATCTCTCATGCCCTTCTTGTCTATACTCCTTGTGAAAATCATCTATACTGTACTAGAGATTTCTACTTCTTCTCTTTACTCTGTAACAACAATAACAAAAAATTCTCTACAATCTGGCTTTAGACCTCATCATCCAACTGAAACTGCCTTCTCCAAAGTTATCAATGATGTCTTAATTACTAAATTCAATAGCTTTTTCTCAGTTCTCCTCTTGACCTCTCTACAATATCTGACACTATTGATCACCTTCTTTTCCTAGAAACTCTTTTTCCGTTGGTTTTGTGGCATTGCTCTCTCCTAAGTTTCCTCCTACATGTCTGGTCACTCAGTATCCTTTGCTGTGCCTCCATCTATGTCATATCCGCTAACCACAGGTGTCAGAGGAGAGAGTCTCATCTCCCTGTCTCCTCCCTTCTTCCCTCTCCCCTAAGGCTCCCCCCATCCCCTTCATAATCTGCTATTCAATTTAAATAATAAATGCCAACATATGAACCCCCCAAAAAATCACAGGTGTTCCCACCCCCAAGGCTCTGTCCAGAGTCTTTTTTTTCCCTCTTGTCTGTCTCACTTTGTGATATCATCAGTTCTCATAAGTTCAGTTATCATCTCTAAGCAGATCCATATATTCAGCCTTCATCTCTCTCCTGAGCTTCAGTCTCATACAATCTACTTCCTTTTGGACATCTTGAACTGTGTGTTCTACAGCTATCTCAAACTCAACTTTGTCCACAACAAAACTCATTATCATCATCTTCCTCCCAATTCTCCCCTCTGCCAAATTTTTCTCTTACTCTTGAGGATAGCATCAATCTCCCAGTCACCTAGGCTGACAACCTTGGTATTCTCCTTGACTCTACACTTCACCTCACATAGCCAATCTATTACCAAGTCTTGGCATTTTAACCTTTACAATATTTCTCATACACATACACATACACACACACATATATACATACATACATACACATATGTTTATGTGTGTGTATGTGTGTATATATATATACATATATATATATATATATATATTACATATATATATACACAGACATACATACACACATATATATCCCTTCTCTCCATGCACACAGCCACTACCCTAATTAAGCCTTGACATTATCGCTTGCCTAAATTATAGCCTTCTACCTGTTGTCCCTGCCTTAAGGTAGAAAGAAGCTTAGAACATAGAACAAAGAATGTTAGAATAAGACAGCACCTTCTCAGAACATTAGGACAAAGAGTGACAAAGCTATAAGGGGTCTTACAGCACAGAATTAAAGAGCTGGAAGGAATCTTAGAAATGATCTACTTGTATGACCTTGGACACATCATTTTGCTTCTCCAGATTTCCATATCTTCTTCTGAAAAATGTAAGGGTTGGCCCTTGAAGGCGTCTGACATCCCTTTCAGCTCTAGATGGCTGATCCTACCAACTAGTCCAAGCATTTCATCTCATAGATGAGGAAACCAAGGCCCAGAGAGGGGAGGGACTTGCTTGCCTAAGATCACAGAGCTGTTTAACACCAAGCTAGAGCTACAACCCAGGCATCTTCCTCCTCAGTCTGGTCTTGCCCCTACACTCTGCAAGTCTCCTTCCTTTGCTGTGTGCTCTTTTAATGATCAGGAAACCCAGGCTAGGAAAAAGAAAAGGAAAAGAACAAAGCAAACCCATGAAACTGGGACTTTACACGAACTTTCAGCTTTGCCTTTGCCCACTGAGCATGGCTAATCAATGAGTGATGAAGATTTAGGCAAATATTTATTTGCTTGGTAAAGAAGGACAAAGGTGTCCATTATTCATATTTTAAAGGACTTAAATGGCTATGAAGTGACTAAAATTCCTTACCCCCTACCACCACTGTAATAGAATCTTAGTATTTCTGATCTGGAAAGTAAGCCAACCTTTTCATTTTGTAGCAGAGGATGCTGAGGGGAAGGGAAGGGGGAAGGGAAGGGAGGGAAGGGAAGGGAGGGGAAGGAAGGGGAAGGGAAGGGAAGGGAGGGGAAGGGAAGGGAGGGGAAGAGGAAGGGAAGGGAAGGGAAGGGAGGAAGGGAGGGGAAGGGAAGGAAGGGAAGGGAAGGGAAGGGAAGGAAGGGAAGGGAAGGGAAGGGAAGGGAAGGAAGGGAAGGGGAAGGAGGGAAGGGAAGGGAAGGGAAGGGAAGGGAGGAAGGGAGGAAGGGAAGGAGGGAAGGAAGGGAAGGAAGGGAAGGGAGGAAGGGAAGGAAGGGAAGGAAGGGAGGAGGAAGGAAGGGAAGGAAGGGAAGGGAAGGAAGGGAAGGGAAGGAAGGGAAGGAAGGGAAGGAAGGGAAGGAAGGGAAGGGAAGGGAAGGGAAGGAAGGGAAGGAAGGAAGGAAGGAAGAAGGGAAGGGAAGGAAGGGAAGGGAAGGGAGGGGAAGGGAAGGGAGGGAAGGGGAAGGGAGGGAAGGAAGGGAGGGAAGGGAGGGGAAGGGAAGGAAGGGAAGGGAAGGAAGGGAAGGGAAGGGAAGGAAGGAAGGGAAGGGGAAGGGAGGGAAGGGAAGAAGGAAGGGAGGAAGGAAGGGAAGGAGAGGGAAGGGGAGGGGAAGGGAGGGAGGGAAGGGAAGGGAAGGAAGGGAAGGGAGGGGAAGGGAAGGGAAGGGAAGGGAAGGGAAGGGAAGGAAGGGGGGAAGGGAAGGGAAGGGAGGGGAAGGGAAGGGAAGGGAAGGGAGGGGAAGGGAAGGGAAGGGAAGGGAAGGGAAGAAGAAACCTGGATTTTAATTCCTATTCTACTAAATAGTTTATTAAGTGTTTATATATGCTAGGCACTGCATTAAATGTTGGGGATATAAAGATAAGGAAACAAGATAGTCCCTACTCTCAAAGAACTTATTCTAATTGGGGGAAAACAACACATAAAATCATGCTAGAAAGGGAGATGTAGGCTTTGAGTGGATCATGTCAAAGAGACTTTAGGAAGTATTACAGAGACCTGGTTCCTGGCAAAATGAGGCAAAAAGCTCAAGGTGGATGAGGAGAAAGCAGGGCAGGGTCTAAGTTGCTGATGGGGTGAGTATGATCAGAGAGTGGAGCCCTAAACAGGGAACTGCAAGAAGTTAGCTTTACTTAGCAAATTTACCTTCTGTAGACCAAATAAACAGTATATTTCACACATGTGCGTTTTTATTTTTCCAGCGTCTGAAGATATTATTGTGATAAACAAAATACAAATGAACTTCGAAGTTTCACTGAATTAATTGCAACTCTTTGTCAATCAATGGTATAATATGACTAATATCATGTGAGTATCTATACAACTTGTTAACCTTAAAAATACCTAATTATGCTCAGAAAACTTGGGTATCACTGAGCTAAATGATTTCTATGGTCTACTTCTAAATGGTGGGTGTTTTTGGAGATGTATGTTTTTGTGTATGTATTGTGCATGAAAGCTACTTGCTCCAGGTTAGACTTCTTTCTCCCTGTGTACACGCACACACACACACACACACACACGCACGCACACAAGCACCCAAAACAAAGTAAAAAGAATGCTTTAGATAATCTCACCCTGGTTTCACATGAAAAAAATAGTCTGCTGCTTTGAATTTACAAAGTTCTCTTTTACTGTGACAAGATATGATGTATCCCTGACCATATCTAGTGAGTTCTGGTCATTTGACTGACATCTTGCCATAAAGGACTTGGTTACTTGAGCAGTAAGCTTGTTTATTAAGGAAAATGTGTGTGTGTGTGTGATGGTCCCTAATGGAGCATGTCAGCATAAAACCTATACAGTACAGAGGCAAACCTGGGTTCATCATTCCTTTTTTTTTTTAGCTGGGCCCTCTAGCTCCTGGATTTATCAGTATTATGTCAGAGTTCTCTGTGTAGCACAACCCCCATGATGCTGATATCCTTCCACCAAAGGAAGAGGCTGGAAAAGTAATCCTGTATCAGAGACATGCAAGGTGATCTGTTTCAAAACCTCTAAGAGAAATAATGGTGGAAGAAGGTATGTAGGAAATGGCAAGACAGCCTTTTCATGCAGTGACTACAGAGGTACTTAGGATGATGACCATAAAACCAGACGTTTCAATACATGTAATAGGAGTTTTCAGTTTTTATGTGAAGGAAAGTGGAATGATAAAAATGATAGAGCCCCAAAAGTTAAAATGGATCCATTTTAGTAAGCAGACACATTTGTGTAAAGTGCAGATCTGTTGATGCCAGCCAACTCTTATTTAATAATTAAAGTAGCCATCCATCTATCTGCTAACTAGGACAGCCTTGCATGAAGGTGTTTATTGATCCAGGATGTCATTTCAGATAGCATACTCATGTCCTGTCCTGCATGTCTTTCAAATAGCATCTGGCACTGAAACAGAAAGTCAAAATGGTCCAAAATATAAATCGAGAGTGGATTTAAGGGGATTGCTGCCCATAAAAGAAACTTGGGGGTGGGAAGAATAAAAGGGAGACATCCCACGCCAGATTGCTCGATAACATGGTACAGGAAAAAGAACACCAGGGCTGGGAAGTAGCAGACCTGGGTTCTGGCTTTGTCTCTGACTAGACTGTATGTCCTTGGAAAAGTCAAGTAGCCTTTGGAATTGCAGTTTCTTAACTGTAAAATGGGAAGCTGTCAAAGGAGGATTAGATGACCTCTAAGGTCTCATTCATCTTCAACACTCAATCTAGAATTTTATTTGCTAAATCTATTATTCTTATTTTCTATTGCCTTTTGAAAATTTAGAATTTAATCATAGAATATCAGAGCTGGAAGAGACCTTAAGGGTCTTCTACCCAACCCTTACTGGAAGCATGAAACCCTTTTACAACATGTTTGACAAGTGATCAACCAGCCTTCTACGTGAAGACTTTCAAAGTGGGACAATTCATTACCACTGATGGGCAGCCTATTGTATTTTTAAACCTCTTTTACATTTGCTCTTAAAAAATAAATGTGATATTTTATCCTGACCTTGATATGAACTAACTTCTTCCTTCCTGAGGATCTCATGGTGTGATTGTTTATAACCAAGCCCACCTAGCACATACTCTAAGCTTAACCAAATATTACCAATCAGGACAACATTGATGAGATTTCAACCTAATAATTAAATTCAACTTCAATTAAATAAATGTTTGTCATTTCTAGTATGCACAAAGCTCTTGTACCAAGAACTACTGATGCAAAGACAGAAACAAAACAGAATGGTAAGTAGTCTGGTTGGATGGATTGTAGGGTGATTGGCAAGGAATAATATGAGGTATTAATAATAATATAAGGAATAAAATGGGAAAAATGTATAGGAGACATCATCCCTTTCTGTCATCCCAGCCCATGTCATCTATGACCACATGGAAGCAAAAGTGCATGCTCCATTAGGGATTTTAGAGTCCTAGCCCCCTCCTATGCTTTGTGTTTTGTTTCCTGGTGGTAAGTGACCTAGAAGTTATCCTGAAATGAACATTCCTAGCTTCAGAGGACACCTTCTGAGTTTGAGGGGTTCAGAGGTACTAGATCCTTTGGTTGCACATTACTAGTTGCTGGGAGAAGATTGCCCATCAAAGAGGATACCATCAACAAAGGGAGGAACTAAACCTCTAACCAAGCCTGCAAGAAGACTTGGATGTAGAAAGAATGACTTGAACAGTACAGAACCGAGGTGAAATGCAAAATGTCAGTTTAGCAGTCCTGTAAAATGCTTTATGCTTTGGTCATTTTAAGACTCAGCCTCCTGGGAGAATCTCATAGTAGTTCATACAGCTGCTTGTTTTTAGTCTTAGTTAATAAGTATTTGTGAGAGCTTTTCATATTAAGTATATCTTTTGAATGCAGGAAATAAATAGTTGTCCCATATTTAATGTGGCATGGTATACATTGAATACATTATTAGTCTCCACTTATGAGAAACTTATACATGAGACAAACCTAAGCTTTAAGTATTTTTCCCTGGAGCAATGGAGTGGGAATGTAATGAGCTAAAGATTGTGGGAAAGGGATTTTGATCCTTCTTTTAGGTAGGTAGACTACGCCAGGACTGATGTCAATCCATTTCTATACATGAATGCAAAGTTAGAGGGACCCTTTTGCTGTGGAGAAAAAGGGTGAAGTACCCCAGAACCTTTGGCCTAGAAGTGACATGAGTGGAATAGCATTCCTACCCTCATGGACCTTATAGTGTAGCAGGAGAGATGAGGCATATATTGGTTGGTTGCTTGCTTGGTTGTCCTTTGTTCTTGAAGAAGACCAAAATGACATCACTATGTTGGAGTCAAGTTACAATGTGTCCAACTGTGGCTAATCAGACCAGTACAAGCTTGGAATGCTCTATCACAGGTTGGGCACAAATAGTCCATGTGAACATTTGAGGTGGATTCTCTAAATTTGCACATCTCACGTTTCTTTTGAGCTACTTCAATTCCGCTTTGCTCATAGAGCACCTTCTCTGATGAGGGCATGCCGTGCTGGGTGGTCCTAGGCCATTGTCTTCCATGTCACACAATCAATTCCAAAGTTCTTAAGAGAGACCTTGAGAGTGTACTTGTATCGTTTCTTCTCACCATGTGAGCACTTACCCTGTGTGAGTTCTCCACAAAATAGTCTTTTTTGGCAAGCGTATTCACGCAACGTGGCCAGCCCGTTGGAATTGTTCTCTATGTAATAGAGTCTGAATACTTGGCAGTTTAGCTTAAGAAAGGACCTCAGTGTCTGGTATCTTATCCATATATACAAACAACTACAGTAACTACTTACGTGACTGAAATATGTGCATTAAGGTGGTACAAAAAGGTATTTGGAGACTTTGGAGGATGGAAGGTTCATTTCTGTTTGGGTTACTAAAGAAAAATTGATGGAGAAAATAGCAATTGATCTTTGAAGAATGGGTAAGGTTTCAACAAATGGAGGTGGATAGAAGGTGAATTGGAATTCTGTGAGCAAAAATGCTGAGGTATCGGACATAACTAGACTATATGCACCAACTGTTCCATGTGTTACCTTATAACGTCCCTGTATCAATCGGTTTTAATGAATGGATTTTCTTTTTGACAAGAGAAATATTAAGGCAGGAATGGGAGAAACTGTAAATATCTATGGTGCAAAAAAGGCACAATAAAATGGAAAAAATGTATGGGAGATGTTCAGAAAATGGTAAGTAGCTTGGTTGGATGGATTGCAGGGTAATTGACAAGGAATAATATGAAGTAAGACTGGGAAGGTAAATAGCAGGTAAATTGTGGAGGGCCTTGAATGCCAGGCTAAATAATTTAGAATACATTCAATACATAACATTGTTTCCATGAGAGTTGAAGTGTTACACAACAGTGATTTCTTGACACAGTGCCTTTAGCCCAAAAAAATGACTACAGAAAGGGAAAGTTCAGGCAGTGACAAGCTAATGAGAGACACACTTATGCATTGGGATCTTGTGAAAACCTTCAAAAGATACTCAGTAGACAGTCACCTTTTTTCTAAGTTTACTTTAATCACAAAATGTTGGAACTATAAAGGATTCTAGACAATATGTATTTTAAACTTCACATTTTGCAATCAAGTAAAGAGTCACCAGAAGAAGAAGCAACGTGGTCAAGCTAATATAAGGAGTTGGTGTCAGAGTTGAACTATAACCTAATTCTCCTTCAAGTCTTCTTTTCAGTATTCTGATTGGGCTTTGTTCCAACTGGCTATGTATGAACTATTTGTTGTTTTTGTTGTTGTTGTTTTACCATTTTTATTTTTGGAGTGAATTATTTCTCTTCTTCTTCTTCTTCTTCTCCTTCTCCTCCTATTCCTCCTCCTCCTCTTCCTGTTCCCTCCTGCTCTTCTTTCTGCTCTTCCACCCGGAAATTGGACTCCCATCCTGGGTCCTGATTAGTGAGTTTTCATTTTATTTTGCTCAAAGATAAGCCTGCCATTCTACTTCCTAACAATCCTCTATTCTGGGCTCCCCCTCCTCCACCATCCAGAAATCATATTTCCATCCTTAGGATTCACTTTCCAACTTTAGCTGTGAGAACATAATCATTTTACCAATACCGTACTTGAAAAGGATATGTTGTTAAATTGGCACTCCCCTATATCTGTTGTCTTCCCATGTTAAAACATAAGCTTTCTGAGGGCAGACACTATCCTGCTTGCTTGTGTTTGTATCCCCAGAGCTTAGCACAGTGCCTGTTGCATAATGAAACCTTAACAAATGCCTTTTCATTCATTCATTGTCCAGGCCTGCAATTTTATTGATATAGGAAATTCCCGCTACTAATGTGATTCAGTAGCTACTTAGCAAAACATAATCTTGGAGATTTGGCTGGGACATTGAGAGGTTACGTGATTTGCCTAGGGTAATACTGCCAACATATCTTAGAGGTAGTATTTGAACCAAACTCTGCTTGATTCCAAGGTCAGTTATCTATCTCTTATTCCATGTTGCCTTTTTTTTCTTTCCTTGCTGGTAATATTTAATATGAAATTGAAATTTTGATTCAGAATTTCATTAATTCTTCATTTACTTGCAGCAATGAGATAGTAAATTAGGTTGGTTGTATCTGAAGAAACAACACCCTCTTGGTTTTAACCTTTCTTCCACCAGGGGATTTGCTTTTACCAAGGAAGTCAACTTTGATTTGAATATCAGTAATGTTGTGTCAGTAGCCAGAGGGTATGGCAATAGGGCTTTCCACAAGCTTGTCTTGGCACTTTTGCTAGAGGATTATTTCAAATTAGCTTCAGTCTTTCCAAGACATGGAACAGTAGAATGTTATTTCCCATTTGTAAACAAAATGGTGACTAATTATTGGAGAAGGGGAGACAGTCAGATTTTCAGGAAGTTTAATATCTACAGGTCTTAATTTTCTCCTAGCACCATCTCCTTATGCCTCTCCCCATGTTTCTCATCTTTCAGGTATGATATCAAATAATACAGGTAACTGGGCAACCTATAGGTTTCAACAGCTTTACAAAATAACTAGAGACCCTGTTACGATTCTTGTTGAGTCCAGAGGATATCTATAGATTGAAACTATAGGGAGAATTTAAGAGGAGAGGAAAAAGAAGAAGAGGAAGGAGGAGAAGGAGGAGGAGAGGAAGAATAAGAAGAAAGAAGAGAGGGTCATTGAAGCATTTAACATATTCACAGAAAGAACCTGAAGGAAATTCTGAAGAAAACACAGACAGGTAAGGAAGGCTTTGAAAGGAAAATATTGATTCCTGTATGCTTTTTTAAAAGTCAGCTTCATATAACAGAGATTTTCAATTTCACATATAATCATCTTTTTCCATTCTACCTTGTATATGGAAATGTTCCTTTGATATTTTAAAAATTTATGCTATTTTCCTAAGAAATTAAAGGAATAAATATTTGCAAGTAAAAAGTTAAATTATTTTTATTTATAGACGGAAGGACTGTATACCTAGAAGGCTCAAGATGATAACAAAAACAAAAATCCAACACCCAGAAAATTGAAGGTAATAAATGACTTAAATAAATGAGTGGATTGAAAAATAAGCCAATGGAAAACATTTGCATTTCTCACAACACTATCATAATTCAAAAGAAACTGATAGAAAGAGAACTGAACTTTATAACAATAACAGAATACCAAATATTTGGACATTAATTTATCAGCACCTAGAGAAAATTTAAAAAAAGACTTCCAAATAACTTTTATAGAAATTTAAATAGAACCAGACAGATAGAGATTATATCCTGTGTCTGGTTAGATCAAACAAATATTGTAAAATTATAAATATTTCTCAAACTAACTTACAGACTTAATGCAATATCAGTCAAAACACTAATGATTATTTCATGCAATCAGGTATAGTTCTAACAAAATTAACATGGGAAAACAAAAATATCAAGAAAAATTATGAAAAAAAACCTGGCAAATGGGACCTAGTTCTCCCA